GCAGCTGGGGGAAGGAAGGCCTACTCTTGCACAAATTTCGTGCATCAGGCCTCTAGTAAAGTTATAAATATCCAAATGGCCCTAGGCAGAAAAGGCCCCCCCCATTTACATAAATAGCTTCTACTCATCAAGATAAAACATTAAAAAAAACACAACAGACTCATAATAAGTACTATGGAATTCCATTAACAATTCAGCAATAAACAATGACACCAAAGAAAATCATCTTGGAATATATTCCTGTATGAATATGTTGACAGATGAAAAACAGGTACATGTTTTATTTTATGTTTCTTCTTGCTCTATCAAAACCACCAGAATGACTTGTTTCTCCAAAATACTCATACTAAGTCTCTATACGTAACTATACTTCTGGGAGGGAAAAAGCATTTTTTACTAATAATTTGAGAGAACATTTTTAAATTGTAAATGAATTCAATATTATCTGGAAGTTCCAAAAGCTGAAACCCTGGTATCTCAGTGAAAGGTGAGAAACAATTCATACATATTAATTCAATGACTACTTGACTCTAAGGCTAAGGATTAAATTCAGATCATATTATAAAAAATGTATTTGATCTTTATATGAATATTTGAATATTACCTTGAACTTGTTCAGAACATCTCTCTCGGGCCTTTTCTCTCATTATTTTAGGGATCAAAACATCTTTTTCAACATGTCTGAGATGCTGCTCTGAAAAAAAAAAGGAGATATTTCTTTAATATAGGAAAGTCTCAAGTAAATCACCTGTTTGGGGGGGAAAAATCACTGTGGTTTACTTAAATAAAAGCCTATGCAAATATGTTAAAAACTAACTTTTTTATAACTTCATAAAATTGTGATTATTTCAGTCACTAAAAATCATTCCAAATAATTTTTATATACAGCAGAAAAAAATGTAAGACATAGGCAACATCTTTCTAAAATTTCCGCAAACTATATTGTAGCACTTATAACATATTTCATGTAATCTTGACAAAATTAAGTCACAGACTAAAATATTACAATTTTTCTTATTAATATAATCCACAAGAGGAGTTTTGTCAATACTAAGATCCAAGGATAGATGATGATGATGTTTATCGGTAGTGAGATCCAAGATTAAGAGACACACAAATAATGTATTTAGTAATAAGAGTGGTTTAACAAAGCCAGAACTGGCAGAAGAAAACATGGAACTATTATGTGCATAAAAAAAAAAGCCTGTGAGATTTCTGTGCATTTTAAACACAACTTCCACAATTAGACTAAAGTGGTAGACTGCGCACCTGCTACAGAGTCCCACCTGCTCCTTAAATTCCTAGAGTCCTGAAAAACAAATGGAAAGTGCCCTGGCCAGGTGTTTCGGTTGGCTGGAGCATTGTTCATACACTGAACGGTTGCCGGTTTGATTCCCGGTCAGGGCACATGCCTGGATGGCAGGTTTGATCCTGGGTCGGGGCCTATTGAGGAGGCAACTGATAGATATTTCTTTCACTTCCATGTTTATCTCTCTGTCCCCCTTCCTCTCTTTCTAAAATTCAATAAAATCACGTACTCGGGTAAGGATTAAGCAAAGAAGAAAATAAATAAATAAAAGCAAATGGAAAGTGTCCTCAGGGAACTAGAATGATCAAGAATCTCTAAAAGACAAAAGGCAGATGAGGTCAGATTCCAGGAAGTAGTGTTTCCCCACAGTTTTTCCCCAGGAAAAAACTGCTATGACAAGTGGGTGTTGCTCCATGCTCAGAGGCAGCAAAAATGGGGAGCAAAAGACTTCCACTGAGGAAACTAAAGTTTTATTGGTTGAAATACATGAGTAGGAGCCAAGTGAGTCACATCTGCTACTGCTTTCAGACCATGAATAAAAGAAGTAAATAACGGGTAATTATCCCCAAAAGTTCATCAGCAAGTTTCCCAGTATCTAATACCCCCTAGGAAGACCAGATAACCTTAAACTCTTCCTGGTAATATGTGGTCACCAACAATCTCTAAATGCAGGTAGCTTAGAGAGGGTAACAGGGCATATCAAAAAGCAAACAAAAACAAAACAGCCAAGAATCACCTTAATTTGATGAAGGACAACACACTGTAATTAATCAAGAAGTAACCAACTCGTAAGAGAGTTCAAAGCGTAAGGAAAATCCTATTTTAAAATACGTACGATAAATATACTGAAACAAATTAAAAGACATGAGTCCTCGGACAGAAATGGACTATAGATTACTTACACGCAACTAGATGAAATCTCTGAAACTCAAAAATCCTAAAAGCTTCAAAAGGGAAAATACATTTCCCACACAAAGGAATGAGAATCAGATTACATCATGTTTCCCTGGTAAGACCTGGATGCAATAATGGAGAAGTAACTTCAAAGTTCTAAGAGAGATAACTTTACATCCAAGAATTGTAGAGCCAATTAAGAGTGAAGTTAAAGATATTTTCAGATGTGTAGAGTCTGAAGTTTACCTCCTTCAAACTCTACTGAAAAAAAATGTATCCCTACTGCTGTGTGACAAGCCACGAATCGAACTCAGTGATGTAAAACGCTGTACAGGGATCCAAAAGGTCAGGAATTCAGAAAGGTAAAGCAGAATAGACTCTTCTCTGCTTCACAGTGTCTGAGGCCTCATCTCAGTAGACTCAAATGACAGGTGTTGATTTCAATAGCTGTAGAAGCTGGGCCTAGAGCAGGGGTGGGCAACCTTTTTGTGATTAATGTATGATGATTTTTCTCCCCCAACATCAATCTTTGCTCCATTAAAAGCAGTATCATGCTCACTGAAGACATGTACTATGATTATTTAAGATAGTATCATTAAGGAAAGCTGGAGAATACAGACATTGTAATTGCAATAATTTGCAGCATGATTTGTTTAAATTATGTCAAAATTAAGTTATAAAAAAGTTTTAAAATATATAAGGAAAAGCATAGGACCTAGGATAACCAAAACAACATTAAAATAAAAGAACACATTTGGATGACTTCCACCTGATGAGAAAGTTGTATTAAAAGCTACAGCGATCACAGTAGTGAAATAGTGAGGTAATTAGGATAAGCAAACAGATTAACAAAATAGAATCCAAAACTACTTCTATGTGTATATATAGCCAATTTAATTTGACCAATGCACTAAGACTAGTCAATGAAAAAATAAAAGTATTGTCAACAAAGACCTGGATAAATATGAAAAAAAAATCTATCTGAACACTCTGACCCCCAACTTCATAGAACCCACAAAAATTAATTTCCCATGGTTCATAAATTAAAACTATTAAACAGCAAGCCATGATCAGAAGAAAGTGTTCATTATCCATATATATGTGACAAATTGAATCAAATATACAGGGTGTCCGCTCGAAAATGTATACACACTACATCTGTAGATTCTATTGCATGTTTTTCTATTGCATTTTGAAAATGAAATGTATTTTAATAAACACTGCCTTTATAATTATTCAAAGTGTGTATACATTTCTTGGGACACACTGTATAAAGAACACCTGCATATTAATAATAAATATACAAACAACCCAATAAGAAATAGGGGCAAAGGCTTTAATGGACACTTCATAAAGAAGATATACAACTTGTAAATACGTACATGAAAAGATGTTTAAAATCATTAGTCATTAAGAAAATGCAAATGAAACCCATGATATCATTTACACCCACCAGAATGACTAAAATTAAAAACACCGAGAACCAAATGTTAGGGAAAATGTGGAGAAACTGGAACTTTCGTAAACTATTGCTGGTGGGAGTGTGAATTGATAAACTTCTTTGGAAAACTGCTTGTTAAGTTATGAAGTTAAATATACACCCAACCTATTTTCCACTGCTAGGTATTCATTTACCGAAGATAAATGAAAATATATGGCCAGAAAATAATCTGTACAAGTCTGTTTAAAAATTAGAAACAACCTAAATGCCCAATTGAATACTACTTAGCAATACCAAAAAATTAAGTACTGATACACTCAACAAGAGTGAATCTTCAAAATTTTGTTGAGGAAAAAGAAGCCAGACACAAGACTACATTACTACAGGATACAAGAACCTGCAGAATTAATCTATGGTGATAAAAATTAGAACATTGGTTATCTATGCTAGTTGAGAAAGGTACACTTCGAAGGATGTCTTAATTTGGGCATTAAATCGGAAATAACACACTTTAAAATATGTAAGTAAATTCTGCTAAAGAATTTGGTAGCATATCAACCATTAATTATGATTTTATACATATTTCAGAACTATCTTCCATCCTACAAATATTATAGATATAGCACTTTTACTCATAAAATTACAGTGATTCCTTCAATGTCAATGTGATACATATATGTTATCCATTTGTACAAGAGCCTGCAAAAAAGAAAAATCAAATATTGAGTTTGCTACTATATAGTCAAATGAATTTATACTGAGATAAAGAATCAGAATAATGCCACCAGGAAAAATTTCCAAAGCTCTAACTTCTCAACATTCTATCATCACCTGAAAGTCAATTTTCACCTTTTCCACTGGCTGAACTTGTTAGCTCAGATTTTGCTTTGGGGCTCACGTGTCCCTGCAAATATGGCAGCACTAGATTACAAGGCTACTGACAACAGTACTTGCTTATGAATCCACAAAGATAACAGTGAGGCAAATCAGAATATTACAGAATCTTTTACTAGGAAGAATTAATACCTGAAGGGCAAGGTGTGCCTTTTCAATAATAAAAAAAAACTGTTTTCATTTAGCTAATTTGATTATTTAGATACTGCCACTTTTAAAAATTTTAACTTCCTAGTTCCATTTACTTGCTCCTGAAGACATTTCTATGCTACTGTTTACTCGAAAGAAAAAAAAAGTGTAGTAAATTTACAAGTCTTCTCAGTAGCACTGAGATCTTTCAGTCCTCTTTTTTATTTCATACGAACAGTCTCAAATTGAAGAGCCCCAGGCAGATGGTATCATGTATAGTACAAGGCCAGAACTCTCAATCACTACCTTCTCACCAGGAAGCTAGATTCCAATTCTCCTTAAAAGGACAAAGATATGTATGCTTCTGAGCAGATTTTCATGTTCTTGTCAGCACCTTCAAACCTTCTTGCTATTATGACAGTAATAAAATGAGGAAGTGGGTGGGGTGGGCAGAGATCCTTAGGGAAAATTAAGACAGTGATAAGTGTTCCATTTACCTTCTTTCCTTTAAATGATACTTGAATTCTCACACACACACACACACACACACACCCAGAAAATCAGCAGTAAGAGAGATTACACCCCTATCTCCAATATTCCAGCCTCCCTGTCTATGAAATCTCAAGATGAGGGCAATGAATGGCCCATAGTCTTCATAACAAGCCCTTTCAGATAAGTATTTTGATTCCATTTTGCAGATGAAGTGGATGCTCACAGAGGTGAAATAACCCAAGCCTCTGATAAAATGGCAATGTCAAGATCATGGAAGACAGGTCCCACGTCTTCTTCAACAGCACTATTACACACCTGAGATGGTGGCCAGTTTAAGGGATTTTAGCAAACAAGGTTATGAGACCTTACAGTTATGCTGAAGCATGGAAACCCTTAGATCAGTGGTTCTCAACCTTGGCTGCACATTAGAATCACCTGGGAATCTCGGAATGGCTGTCATCCAACAGCACGTGCGGGCGAGGCCGCGGGGCAGGTGCCCTCAGCACTGCTGGCGGGAATCTGTGTGGAGTTTCCTCAAAAATTAAGACTAGAGCTACCGCCCTGGCCGGTGTGCTCAGGGGTTAGAGCAGGGGTCCTCAAACTTTTTAAACAGGGGGCCAGTTCACTGTCCCTCAGACCGTTGGAGGGCCGGACTATAGTTTAAAAAAAAACTATGAACAAATTCCTATGCACACTGCACATATCTTATTTTGAAGTAAAAAAAAACAAAACGGGAACAAATACAATATTTGTATTTGCATGTGGCCCGCGGGCCGTAGTTTGAGGACCGCTGCCTTAGATGATAGAACTGTTTGTTTCAGAAGCATAATTTTGAACAAGCAAAATTCACAACTGCATACTTCTCAATTTTTTTTATCAGAAAATCAAGTTAAATGGAAATCTGATTCTCTGATTCATACCATGAAGAAAATCATTTTTTTAAAAAAAGCAAGAGGAATGATTTGTCGGCTGAAAAACATCTTCAAAGAATTAATGAGTAAGAATCTAATTTTTTTATAAGTTCAAACTCTTACAAAATATGAAAAGCAGATCAATGAAGTAGATGTGCTTATTTCTGCTCAGCCTTTGGCTCAGATACCACATGTGTCCCACAATCATAAACTTCATTTGAACTTCTTTGTCCTACCAGCTTTCACTGTTAATAAACACATAGTTCACACTAGATGTGCCCATTTCCCAAAAGCATCTATTTCTTGGACCTCAG